GCAATGCAGCATTCAGAGTGCATAAGTTGCAATTTCATCCATATGTACATATGTACATATATACATAAGGGCATTCATCAAAATAGCGCACAACTCGCATGTACTCGTACATATGTACATATGCATATTAGGGCAGTCCTTAAAAAAATCAAATGAACGATTTTTTTCAGTATCACCCCTTCAATCGGTAATACCACGGTCACAGATATCACATATATTTAAATTTTTTGGTGGCGATTGGAGTCTTTTAAGACACTTTCATAAGGTAATCTGAACTTTAACCCCTATGCGACACGCCTCAACCGACTCTAATCGGGGCCAAAATTTATATACGATACCTTCGACTATAGTAGCATCGATGTAGGGGTTGAGCCCTAGAAAATCGGATGTACAAATTTGCTTCCTACATTTAAGGACTACCCTAATGCACATATGTAATATAAAATTGTTCTGGGATGTGTGCTGGAGTGAGCGACACTGAAGCTAACGATGTTTTCATAATCTGCTGAATTGACATTTAATTAGATTGAGTTGGCAATTTTGCAGCTACTGTCGCTCCTTGCTGGATACTATTGCGAGCATACGTTAGCGTATTTGTTGATTTTATGCTAGTTATTCGACCATGGCAGATGGATACTCAGAATATGTGGCTTGATAGCTGCATAGGAAGAATTTCATACATAATGGCGTAGAAGTCGTAACATAAACGAGAGTATTACGAGTAAAAGCTTGGGCAGTACTTAGCCATGAAATGCATCATGCAAAAGTAGTTAATAAATTTGAATATATCTTTGTATGTATGCGTGTATAATAGGGCGGGTCAAATTTTTTGCATCAAAGGCACATTACGCGATTATGGTTATTTGGGTAATTTCAAGCATTTTTGCCTAAGAAACCATAGGTCTAAAATGAATTTCGAGCCAGCGATTTTTTCTATCTAGCTTTTTTTCCAAAAAGTGGCTCACCTGTTGAAACAGCTGTATTTAAAACAAGCCAAAATGTGTATCTGGAGGTTTTTGGGGTCGAGGAATCCATTTCTGGCATTATTTTTCTCTTTTGAGGGCTGCCAGAGGGCGCCTTCGTACTTTTTTTTGGATATTAATGCCTTTTTTCCGAAAATCGACAACATTGTTGCGAAAATCCACGAAATTTTACTTTCTCATAATATAACTTCAATTACTAAATAGCCTAAAATCTTCAGCGTCCAAAATTTTTATTTTTTTAATTTTTTTTTTATTTTTTTCTTATTTTACATATTAAACACAGTATGAAAATGAAAAAGCACAGTATGAAAATGAAAAAGCATGCGCTCACACATGTTATTTGCTTACAATATGTCGATAAACAATATTACCAACATAATATTAAAAAAAAAATACGTTACACGTGTTTAAAAATTGAAACACTAGAAATTGTTTATGTTTTTTTTCATTTACATTTCATATGTTTTTATCTATTAAGTTAAATTTTTGAATAAAAAAAAATTATATTAAAATAAAAAAAAATGTGTTTTGTAAAATTCAGAGAACAATGTTTTGCCCTAAATTGAATAAAATCGATATAAGTTATGCTTTAATACACCTCCCTTCCCCCTAATTCTTAACGCTGAACATTTTAGGCTAATTAAAAATTGAAATTGCATTATGTGAAAGTCAAATTTGAATTTTCGCAACAATGTTGTCGATTTTCGGAAAAAAGGCGTTAAAATCAAAAAAAAAGTACGGAAGCGCCCTCTAGCGGCCCTAAAAAAATTAATGCCAGAAATGGATTCCTCGACCCCAAAAACCTCCAGATACACATTTTGCTAGTTTTAAATACAGGTGTTTCAACAGGTGAGCCACTTTTTGAAAAAAAAACTAGATAGAAAAAATCGCTGGCTCGAAATTCATTTTAGACCTATGGTGTCTTGGGCAAAAATGCTTGAAATGACCCAAATAATCATAATCGCGATGTGCCTCTGTTATTTTTTTTGGGGCCCCTACAAATCGACCCGCCCTAGTGTATAAATATTAGTATTCCCTACCGGAACAATTTGTCTGTTATAAATCTTTGATAGGAGTACACCTGCATGACATTGTCACCAGTATCATTGTCAGCTATATGTCGTTTAGGATTCACAGCAAGTGCGACGATGTCACTAAATCCTCATTAGTGACGATGTCACCGGTGACCATTTTCGCTACTGGGTTGGAATAGTTCAAAAACTCATACGTACTCAAAAATGTACTGTAGAATACGGTAAAATTTTCACATTGTTTTTAAGAAATTCATAGTAACTTTAAATAATATACCAGGTAAAGCTACCTGTAAAATATGGAGTATTTACCTAGTCTGTTCGGGTAGGGTTCATACCCTGCATAAAAAATTAACAACTGATAAAAAATAACCTACTTGTAGTTTACTTTTTTGCGGAATTTCTATAAAATATTAAACTTGTAGTTAGCTACGAAAAGCTAACTTGAAACTTGTTGAAAAGTAATGCACGAGTAATGCTTGTGATTGTTTACTTTAAACAAGTTTTATTTAAATATCATCAAACAAATTTTACTTTGAATGCACTTTCTTTCTGCACTTCGCAAATACTTTTCATGTAAACAAATATGTAATGTAATAAAAATAAAGTAAATAATTATAAAAGTAAAAAAAAAACAAAAAAAAAATATTTTTCTTATTGATATTTAATGTCCAAAAGTAGTAAGTTACAAGTTAGTTGACATCTAATGCAGAGGTAACCAACCTCGACTATTTTGCGGCCATCGCCATAGAAATATAGTTAGCTTTCCTCAAAGAAAGTATACAGATAGTAGTGACCTTTGTTCTTTCCTAATCAACCTCAAGTTCACTTATAATTATATATATTTCCCGCAGGGTATATGTAAATACATACATACATGTAATACGCGGATACATATTTTTTTCAATGCCATCAGATCTGCACCGTTCGTTCGAGTGTCAAAAATGAGATGCCAAATTATAGGGCTTGACCTGTAGATGTGCTATAAGGTCTTATTTTTTGAAAAAGGTTGACACACTGTAAAAAATTAAATTAAAATACATATTTAATAAGTGAAACGAGTTATTATAATATGGGTATCTAACTAAATGGTTTTAAATAGGGATGAAACGGTACGAGTAAATACAAGCACATTCTCGATACTTTATGTTCCATTCCAAGTAATTTTGTTATCTATACTTTTAAACCAGGTACTGAGTATGTATCGAACAAAATACTCGTATCGAAATTCCTCGACTTTTTCCTCCACTGTTATTCCTAATATGAATCACACGTTGGCCCAAAGTCGATTATCGCAAAGAATACACGATCCGACACGGAAGATCCTATTTATAACTACTTGGCTGCGGCGGGAGAGTTTAACTGCTGTCTCTCAAGAGTGCTGCTTAAAATGCCAAAATCTTAAATTTGTATGGGACATCCCTTCATTTCGTTACATGTACAAATAAAGACCTCCACGAGAATTTAAAAATAATTTTTGAGGGTCGCTGCCAGGTATTGAAAGTATTTAAATTCGACAAAGTTGACATTAGTGTTGGGAAGTATTGAGTACTTTTGAGGATCGAGTTCTTCGGTGTCGATACTTTTTAGGATCAGACATTTTTGAGAGTACCGACTAGTTTATTTAAATAAATATACACATGTTGGTAACATTTTAATGATTAGTGTAGAAATGTCTCAAGCTGGCAACACTTTATTCAAATTAATATTATAAATCCCAAATTATGCTGACTGTACTGGGTGCAAGGTAAAAAGAACTCAGTACTTTCAAGTACCTATTCGACACCTAATACTCAGTACTTTGATTCGATCCTGAGTACATGTATCAAAGTGAGTATCGGAACAGGGTATTCTCGAGAACTGAGTACTTTCGAGTTCTTTTGTGAGTACTGAGTATTTTAGAGCACTCAGTGACGATACTTTTAAAAATCGGGTACAGTCGATCCTTTCGAGAACCGAGTTTTGAGTACTTTTGGTATTGAAACTGCTCAACACTGCAAAACATATTTTGTTACCATTGACTAAAGTTAAAAAAGGCCTTTGGGGTCAGGACTTATGATTATTACTATTATTATGGGCCATACGCACCGCGACCTCTGAAGTGATCTATTGTGAGTGACCCTCCGTCCTATGGGGAAAGGCTTTTAATGTAGTCTAGCACTTTCAAGGGCGTCAAGAGGTCAAGACTTCCTCACCCCTATTTAATAACAGATTGGCGCTTACACATATATTAGTGTTTGGCCGAGCTTTTCCTCCGATTTGTGGCGTGCGCCTTGATGCTGCCACAAAAAGGGGAAGGGCCTAAATTTTTACGCTGATTCCGAACGGCGATTTTATTTTAATGAGAAGCTGTTTTTCATGACAGAAATACACTCGTAGGTTTGCCATTGCCAGCCGAGGGGCGACTGCTATTAGAAGAATACTGTTTTTGTTTTTTTTTTTTTCGTTTTTAATGCTAAGTTAAACTGGGCCTGAGCCCACCCCTATATATATATATGATAATATAATTATTTGTAACCCAGTTTAATTTGGAACTCAGAAGAAAAAAAATGCTGCATTTATTCCGAGAAAATTTAAACGAATGCCGGTGTTTGGAGGTTAATACGCAATAAATTTTTTCTATCGTAAAGAAATATGTAAAAATTTACAAATTTTAAAGTTTTGAAGTTTTCGTGGATCTCTTTAATTTGTACGTAGAATGAAATGAAGGTGACTCCTATACAAAATTTAGATTTTGACTATTTTCGAACCACCCTAATTCATAGTCAAAATCGAGTCGACAGTAAAGCTAGCTCCAACTTTTTTACATAATTTTTAATAGAATATCTGTCAAAAAAGCTGCAACCTACCTTAAAGTCGACTATGAATATGACCGATTAACTTTAAAATGATGCAGCGAGTGCTTATGGTCCAATCAATACCTGTAGGGGCCTGCAAAGTTATACATGTGTACATATTTTGTATGATTTTTGAAATAAAACAAAGATTTGCAAATTTTTAATCATAAAATATCAGATTTTTGCAGATAATTCAAATATTAGCATATGGGCCAATATTGAGCGCTCGCGCCATCATTGCAGGTATATTTGATTGCTCGTAATTTCCGCTGAAATATTGTGCGAATGGCCCAGAAGCGAACACGCCCACGTCATCTCCACCATGAGTTTCAGAGTCCAATGGCACTGTGGCGGGATATTCAAAACGTACGTTTTCTGTCTGTTCGGCGGTTATCTCGCTGCGGCCGGTTTGTTCATTATAGGTACTGCTGAAACCGGGTCCATTGGCGTAGGACAAAATGGTGAAAGGCAAACCATCAGCGCCTAGCGAATCGGACAAGCCAGTGATTGCTGAATCGCGATACTGTTGAAAGAAAGAAGGAAAGTATTTATTTCAAGTAGAAATAGTAACTTCGAAGCATATTACTCACCGGATAGCCGTTAATGGTCATGGTGTGCGAGTGATCTGACGTTACCACGATGAGCGTATCCTCTTCTGAGGTCATTTCGCGTGCACGCTCAATAGCGCGTGAGAACTCCACGGTATCCTCCAGTGATTTACGTGCACGGGTATCATGATGCGCCATGTCGATGCGTGCACCTTCCACAAAGAGGAAGTAGCCGTTTTTGTTCTTTTGCAATACCTTAATTGCGGCCTCCGTCATCTCGGTTAGCGATGGCTTCACTAGTTTGTAGTTGCTGCGTTCCAAATCGCCATTGTAGGGGCAATGCGAATTTGCGAATAATCCTAGCAAATACTCCGTTTTATCCAAATCCACCAAACTCAAGCCTTTCTTGCTCCAAACATATGCTGCCTGCTGGTTATTTGTATCTTTATCCTTCAACCAATCCTGGATCAAATTTCGGCCATCCGTACGCTGGCCAGGCAGTCCTTCTTCATCGTTGACCGTAGTGTTAATAAAGTTGCGCCGACCGCCACCCATGACCACTTTCAAATTCTTACCCACATTCCACTCCACCAGCTGACGTGCGATATCTACATTGCTCTTAGCGCTACAGCCACTCTTCGAGAACACAGCGGCATCATTCTCCCAATCTCGATTGGCAGTATGCGCATACATGCCACCCGGTGAGGCGTGTGTCACACGCGCCGTTGTCACCAACCCAGTATCTTTTCCCGCATCTTGCGCCCACTTAGCAATACTATCCACAAAGTTATCCGGATTCTGGCCGGTGGTGCAATCATGACGCTTTACTTTGGCATTCACGCCTATTGTGCCGTAGTTGGCCTTCACGCCACCCAAATAGGCGGTGGCTGTGCAAGCTGAATCAGCCACTTGTCGGTCGACGCAGTATGTCTTCGACAAGCCAAAGTAGGGGAATTTTTCGAATGACACCTGATTAGCGCTGTCGCCCATTAGATTGCGTGCGGCTGTGACTGTGTGAATCGACATGCCATCGCCGAGGAAGAAGATGATGTTCTTAGCGTTACCATTTGCATTCAGTTTCGCTGATTGTTGGAGTTTTTCGCTGAGCGTATTCTGTGCCTTAGCAATCCAATAGCTAGCCTCACGTTCTGCTTCGTTCGTGAGATGTGACGCGGAGCCCAATCGCGTTGAGGTGCCAGTGCTGCGAGGATGTGCTGGAGGGACGAAAATAAATGCGTTTTTGAGATAAAGAAATTTGTATTAGTAAAAGCTCGGTAAAAATATAGTAGGTATTGTTTTATAAAGGGTAAAGTACAAGTGTTGCGAAATAATATTGCCATAATACTTGTTGATAAGGCGAAGTTTAAAGTATGTTACGGCAACGAGTAAACTAAATTTATTAGTGTATACACTCGTGCATGAAATATTGATGTCTATTTGTAAATATCTCTCTCTCGGATTTTTTTTTTAAATAAAAGTAACATATTACGTACTTGAATTTAGGGCTCTAAAACTAAGGACGGCATTTTTGGTAAATAAAATCTAAAAGGTTTATATATGTAGGTTGCCTTTAAATAGGTTTTTACCGACACGAGGCCACAGTGACATTGGCGAAAAACTGCGTAGCTTACGAGTTGGCAAGACTTGACTTCTGGCTCAGGTTGGATTTATAAAAAGGGCTCTTTATACTTACACAAGTCTTGATCTTGCTTTTGGTGAAGGCTCTGCAAAGTGAATGTTCGGTTAACATAAAAAAATGACTGCCGCAGCTGCATGAAGGATTCTACCAGGATGTTATCCTTTCGCAAGCCTAGCATTGAAATACTTCATCATCAACCCTGATGATCGCTCTGACATTGATATTAGCTGCCACCGTAAGTTCACTATTGGCTCGTTGTGTTTCATCGTCTGAGTAGTGGTTGCTGTCGAAGATCAGATAGTACCACTAAGCATAACTCCAACAATTTCCAAACTTGTTCTCAACTGGGGGCTACCATCACAACATAACCTTAACCTAACCATATTAAGGATCAAAATCAAAGGAAGCTAGAATGTCTTACAACAGGCGAAGTCCAGCTGTTAAGTATACGCTACAATCCTCACCTCGATCNTATAACTCCAACAATTTCCAAACTTGTTCTCAACTGGGGGCTACCATCACAACATAAACTTAACCTAACCATATTAAGGATCAAAATCAAAGGAAGCTAGAATGTCCTACAACAGGCGAAGTCCAGCTGTTAAGTATACGCTACAATCCTCACCTCGATCGCTTGCTGCCACAACGCCCATCAACAGACCTGTTAAGGCCAATGCGAAAAGGAATCGAATATGCATCATTAAAATGAAATTTTCTTGACTTCTGCGAGTATTCTGTGGTTTGAGATCAACTCTTAAAATTGAACTAAATGGTAAAAATTGTTGAATAGCCAATAGAAGTATAGTAAAAACCCTTTATGGTTAATCTTATCAAACACGTGAAATACACTTAATTATTAAATCAATATCAGCAATCGTAAACTCAAAAAACGAGCATAAAATCGGGCGAGAATTTATTTATGATCCAATACATTCAATAAAAATTAAAGGGGTTATATTCGCTTTACGACTGCTGTCTTGGCTGTTGTTGGTTAGGCAGTATTACACAAATTACACAGGTCCACAAAAAAAAAAAAATCGATGAAAGGTTCCTTTGACCAAACCTAGTCTAACCTCAAAAAGCATCTCGGATTTTACGTGACAGGTCGATTTCACCGATTTTTTTTTGTGGATCTGTGTTACTTTAAGCATTTGACCATCATTACTATGGTAAAATTTTCTGCTTGAGAAAGTAGATCAGTTTATGAGATATAACAAATTGTATTTTTTTTTGAGATCTGAAAAAATGCACTCACTTAATGCAGTTTGTTTAATGAAATTGGTCAATCGAAAATTTGTTTTTACTTAGGTGAAGCTTATTAAATTTACCATCATCCATGTCAGCAACTCATTGCAATCCGATAAGCGTTTCCAGGAGCTTTTTATCGATTTACCAGCTATGTCGCGTAATTTTTAATAAAATTTCCCAAACAATTTTATTTTCGGTATGAACGTAAATGTGAAAAAATTGGTTTACCGCTTTATTTCTTAGACGTCAAAGTATGATTTTTTACAAATACAATAAGACCCTACTTATCCAAATTTAATAATAAATATAGAAATCATGATCTCTTAAATAAAAATACGCAAAAATAGTTTACATACAAATGTATGATTTCATAAATTATGTTAACTTTTAATAAATTTCAAGCTTTCGTGTTCTTTTCTCAGCATCTTCACATGCGTATTGCGTGCTCTGTCTTAAAAATGTTGACATTTTTTTCGAGAAAAGAAAACACCATTAATAAGCTTCACTAATGTGAGAAGAAATTTTCGATTGACCAACTATAACCAAAAAAATTTATATGAATGGGAACAATTTTTTCAGATCTCAAGTGTAGCTATACCTCAAAACTTGTTCTACTTTTTTGTGTTCTGGAGGGAGATTCTGTAACCAGTTAGCGACAATTTTCGGATCGCTATCGCACTTTTCGACACATGATATAAATGCTTTTGCGTCCAAAATGCGATATCGATTCGAAAATTGTCGCTAACTGGTTACCGAATAATTCCCCCCGCCCCTGACTTCATATTTGGATTAAGTATATAATTTTACATAAGGATTGCTTTGAAGTGTTTATGATGAAATATTATAGAAACTACAACTATAGTAAAAGGCTACTATGAATTTTTGGCTTTTGCACATATAATCAGGTTAATAATAATAATACATACTTTGGCCCTTAAACTTTTGCCAAGTGTAAAACACAACTTCTCTAGGACGGCAAATGGTTTTAATGACAAGATTTTTCAAGGCGGAGATTTGCCATTGCCTGCCACAATCGGATTTCTTGTTGACTAGTGTTGTTATTCTATATATATAAATGTGAAGGTCTGTTTGTTTATTACCTTATAACTTTTGAACCACTGCACGGAATCGCAGGAAACTTTGCGCACTTATTTGTTTTTACCCCGGGAAGGTTATACTTAGGTATGGTTTTGTTTGCAAATATGGTGTAAATTTTGCCAGGGGCGTGGAATTTTTAATCAGCTATAACTTCGGAACCATAAGTCACATGAACTTGAAATTTGGTATGCATACATATCAATGGTAGGTTTATAATATAAGCGTGGAATTTTTTATCAGCCATAACTTCGGAACCACAAGTCATATGACTCCTTCAATTCCTTTTGATATTCCTTTCGAATTTAAAATACCTCAGTTTCCAGTTCTCTTAGCTTTTGCAATGACAATAAAACAGGAATGCTTTAAAGTAAAACCCGAAACTTTATTGAAAATAAAATGTATGATAATTGTATTGGAAAATGCGTTTATGTTAATAGATACTTTGAAGTACTAAAAAAATGCTGTGAAATTATATTAGAGTTATTATTCGTAGGAAATTAGATAGTATTTCTTCTATTATATAATTTATTGGAGATATTTTAACCTAACCAATAGAAACACCTGCAGTGCCAAAAAATTATTATTGCATTTCATTCCATATCACCCAAGCTGCTATCACGGCTATAGTAAAATTAGAGCAGAAAGAGAGTATAATATCTTTACATAAAGTATTTTTCATATTTGTATAATAACGTGGGGTGAAACCCGCAGGTAAAAGATAGTTGCTTATATAGGCAGCTCTTCTGGCAAAAGCTTGAATTTTTGCAAAGTAGACATTTTCTATCCACCTGGACCTATAAAACCGTTTGAACGCACAGCATGTATTGAGCTGAAGGAGACATGTATGGTCGATAAAGATAAATAAATCGCCGAATCATAAACCATACTACAAAAAGTGCGTTTTATAATTATAGTTATAGCAATCGCACTCTCGGCCATCGAAACCACCGTTAGAAACTGGGTGTATATAATACACACATATTTCGCTCAGCAATGACTGGGAAGCTTCGAAGGACCGCATGTGGGCAAAACTGATGTTGTCCTCAATCTCAGAGGGTCTTGATAGCTATTTACTTTCATTGAGAAGATGGAACTGCAGATAACTTGTTGGCTGGTTGACTGTTCAATTCTCGTGACACGAACATGTGAATGGCATATGCTGGTGGATGAGACGACGGAACACTTTTTGTGCCTCGCCTTTGCATAGATTTGTTATGAGGCTTTTGGCAGCATTGTGTTCAGAGACCCAACAGACTGCTTTGATTTATCGTATTGCCATCAAAACCGTATTAAGCACCTTATAAATTCACTGTCGTACTCTTTATTAACCGTCTGAAGACGTAGAAATTTATTCATACATACATATGTACATTTAGTCGGGGCATAATGAACACTATGACCTAAAATACCGTATGTGGGCTTCTATAATAAAAGCTAAAAAGAATCTTGGTACAAGTATTCATAATTGTTTGGCGTCTGCTGTGGGGAAATTTAAATGTTTTAGATTAGAGACGAGCGAGAGACGTTCACGACTGTTATAATCCGAAATAGGCATTTCTACGTGACGAGTTGCTCGTTCACGGCTGTTACGATTCGAGTCCAGGCCTGACGTCTTATGGTAATCAAGGTTTCCTTACTTTATTAGCCGACTTCAAAAAAAGGAGGAGGTTATGTGTTCGTCGGTTTTTTTTATAACTTTGGGCCACGTTACCGATTTCGATAATTCATCGGAAAGGTGGTACCTCAATCCGATAGTTGGATCGTGAAGGAATTAACGATAATCTTAAATCTTTATATGAGAATAGAAGTCGGTTTTGGTTTTTGCTTAAAAATTACTTTTTTTATTTTGAACTTTTTAGTTTACGTTTGCTGCAATTTATTAATTGCGCTCCCTAATATCTGCGAATAAATCATATATATATATATATTTATATAAAGACCCCTGAACTATCTAAGGAATCAATTTACATTTGAAATTGCATTGCACTCGTCATCGGAACTATGCCGAAAGTTTCAAGTCTCTAGCTTGTCCGGAAGTTAGTTTAAAATCGATTGGGAATTTCCGCGGGATGGGCAAATCAAATAAATGCTAGTAAAAAGCTTGTAAAAATACTTTTCTCCTCATGTGACTTTTGTTAATTTTAGCTATAGGTATACGCTATGAAAAAAAAAAAAATCTGTAGCAATAACCATTGTACATACAGTAGTAATTTAAATGTAGCATTATTGCATGCACTTTAGGGCACTTTTCGGCATCACACGTACGATTCTCCCGCAGCGAATTTGCTACTAAAAACGGCGTTCATGCGGAAATATTGCACACATCCTCTGCTGCGTAATGTTTCTGACCTGCTTCTGCCATTTTCCGGCAGTCCTTTTTAAAATGGTGCTTAAAATGTATGTATGGAAATGGCATACGTATGTATGTAAATGGCATACGTACATATGTATGTATGTAGTACTTATGTGTCTCGCAGCTGTCAAAAAGAAGAAAAGTTCAAAAGAGGAGGATGGGCAAAGTAACACGCGGCTAGTAAAAAGTGTCATTTATATATTTGCAGGTAAGTATGTATCTATGTATGTACACACCTTACTATTTACAAGCGAAAAAATGAAGATATTATATTTACCTACCTACATGCAGTGAGCATTTTTCAACATATTTATTTGAGATACCCGGCGAAATTGGAGATTTCGCTTCTACTGAAATTTATGTTTTTTTTCGAGGATTAAGACACTAATCAAAGCTCTCAAAAGCTTACAGCCCAGGAATAGAGCATATATATATTTATACTTATATCATAACGTCACCTGAAATGCAAAAAGACGTAACTAATAAATTCACTTTTTGATTGATATGCCCATCATATTTCATAGAATTCAACTCCCCAATTTCAGTTATGATGTCGTTTGGTCTTTGTGCATTGTGGCGATATACATCTGATCATAATCAGCTAAATACCAGTGGCGGGCATACATAAATAAGATTGCATCTAGAGTACTGGCTTGGATACTAAATAAATACCAATTTTTTCTTCTTCTTGGGCTTTGTAACCGCCTAAGCGATTTTGGCTGAGCTCAACAAGGCACGCCAGTCGGTTCTCTTCTGTGCCAACTGACGCCAATTTGAAAAGTCAAGCCCTTCTCCAATGGGTTTTTCGATCGCAGTGGGGGCCTCCCTGTTCCTCTGCTATCACCAGCGGGTTCCGAGCTGAATGTTTTCGGAGTCAATTCGAACGACTCGGCCGAGCCAGCGAACCTGCTGTATTTTAATTCGCTGCACTATGCCCATGTCGTTGTAAAGCTCATACAACTAATCATTTAATCGTCTGCGGTACTCGCTATCGCCAACGAATAAAGGTCCGCAAATCTTCCTCTCGAATACTCGAAGAGCCGCCTCATCGGATGTTGTAAT